CCCCCCGCGACCCCAACAGGGAATAAGCGGTATTGATAATGGATGGATGGATGGATGAATTGATAAAGTGAGTTAAACAAGTCCCTGGAGTAACAGCAATCTCTCTGACCTAAGACTTAGGCCAGACTTTGTATACCCAGTATTCAACATATATCCCATGGACGTTCTTATATTACTAGTAAGGTATGTTTACTTGCTGTAAAGTCCTCCTAAATTGCTGGATTCATTCTGTAGAACTTTTTCCTTATTGTCACACTCCACATAAACGAGAACAACATTGGCTAGACACAACAGCTGAAAGTGCGAAGTAAGTTGGAAGTTGTTGAAATACGCAGAAGTGTAAATTAAGATTGTAAGATATTTTGTGTGAGGGATATGGCCTTACAAAAAAGTCCCATAATGACTAGAATCAGTTTCTCAAGCTTGAAATATGTACAGCAGTTTATTTACAGGAAGTGTTTTCTCATCTCTTTATGCTGAATTCTTCTATAGATTGTCTCAGTCATAGTCTGTCTTTTCTTTAAGCCTGCTCAGCAGTGCTTACATTCTCTGTCTAATTGTAATACTGCACATTGTCTTTCAAGGGCTATTCTGATGCCCTTACTGAAGGTCATCACATTGTCATGTCACCCACTGTTCTCTGACTTTTTGCTTACTTTAGTTTCCATTCACAGCTTTTCTCGTGTCTCTTTTCATTCCTGCATCACCACTCTTTTCTTCATGATTCTTTCCAGGTGGCCATGTTTTACTTATTTACCCAAAGGTCAGGACTGCATGATTAAACAAACTGTTAATGGGCAAGTCCTCCCGTTGGTTGCTCCGTAAAAGCAGCCAAGCACCAATTAACAACAGAATGCTCAACATTGAGGCCAGACTGAAAATGTGATTGTGAAAATAAATTGAAAGCACACACTTTGAGAAAGTTATGCATAATTTCTGAACAAATTGTATAATCACGTTGCATCATCGTTGACAGTACATATTCAGTAAATGTTAGGAGTGAGTTTGTTTGTCCCAGAAGTATCTACTGTATGTATGTCAAAATATCAATCAAATATATTTTAAAGATAATATATAGTAATATTGGTCAGAAAAAGAAACTTATTTTTGGTTAGTTTTTTTTTTTGCTCTTTCACTCTTGTGGTTATCCATCTAGCTACCATCCTGTAACTAACAAGAACTGAATGCTGATCCATTAGTGCTAGTAGCATACACCAGTGATCTCCTTTATCCATCAAAATTAGTCAAACTATTAGTTCAGCTAAAGTTAGCAACTTTACAGCAAACTGCACTCTCCATTGGTTTAGGGACAACTGTGTTCATGCTAGTAATCTGTATTTGCAATGTAAACACACTTTTTTAAAAGTCAAAATTTGCCCATTAGTTGAGCAAAATTATATTATGTTGTTAAACTGTTAACTTTGTCTTCGTGCTGTTTAGCAGGCAAAAAGTGACCTGAAGTGTTGTATTTTTTCCAAGCTTTTCTGCCAACATAAACTTCCTATACAAACACAACTTGCAAGCTGCTCAACTGAACAAACAACAAAAAGAAGCTTGAAAGCATTTATACGGTATGAGGAGCGTCACTTCCCTTCCTAAATGTGAGCCAGATTATGTGAGGGCTTTAAAGAACTGCCATCCAAAAATATTTGAGATTCTCTTCTGAGACCCCCTGTTATTTTCTCACTCTCCGACTCTCACTCATACATCTTACTGAATTTGTCAACCTCTTAAATAATCCCCTCTGAACATATCTTTTTCCCTACGGAACTTACATTGAAGTAAAAATGGGTAACAATGTGAAAAAGAGGCTAGGGTTTATAAACTGTCCCACCACCCACCCAGAGTGTATTTGATTAGACCAATCTGAAGGAATGTGGTAACACAGCAGTTTACTGTGCTGTCTGTATTCAGAGAGATTACTGGTAACTGGAGTCCAGGATTAGTTTGCTGTTGAGTTTTAGCATGACAACAGCTATTAAACTGGTAGACATTAGTTGTATATTTTGTTGCACAAGGAAACATTCATTTATTCTGTGGTTTCTTTTAGGTGGAAAGATTTTTTTTTAAAGGTATTCAAGCGGAAGGAACGTCCTGAAATTGGCTCCTAGAAGAAATGCAGAACAGTTCATTACAAACAAAAATATTTTCTGAGCTGAACATTTTTTTTCAATAAAAAGTTTGGCAACTGTAATCCAGAACAAATTTGTTGAGAAAATCGATGCTGATTCTTTCTGGCTATTGTCTTTAAGCATCAAAGCAATTAAGCAAATTGTCTGTGTGTGTGGGCATGTATAGCACATCAATCTGGGATGCTGGGGGAAATAATTCACAACTTGGACTACTGTGATATCGTGGTGTTGGGGGAAGAATTGGTCCCAGAACAAGAAACTCTCCAACTGCAGCGAAGCTTACTGCTTGGAAAACATCTGGATGCCACCAACTCTACCTCTGGCATATCCATATATGGTAACCTGACAAGACTGAAACTACTTTTTAGTTGGACACCATCAATATAACTCTTACATTTACTAGTGCTGCTGTATACCAGCTGTAACAATCCTTTACTGCTTTATTCAACAGGTGTCGACTCCATGGTAAACTATGAGCAGGTCATCCGACAGGTACGCTACCACAACTGGCAGCCAGAGCAGCTAATTGAGAGAGGGTTTCGTCTGACCTGCTCAGAGCTCAATGGACGCTACACCAGCAATGAATTCAACCTTGAGGTCAGTACACAACCTACTACAGAGTTATTTGAATCCTATTTTCCTCATCTGGTTAAGAAGGAGTGAATGTCTATTGGCTCCTGTGTTGTTCTTCTTATTTTATAAGTAGAGGAAACGTGTTAACTGATTTGGCAATTTTATTTCATAGCTCCAGCATGACTCCATGACACAGCGCTATTGCCCGTACACCATCGCACCTCTCTCAGGGCTACCACACATGCACCTGAACCCTGTTGCATGCTGGGCATTAGAGTCCTAGAGCCTCCACGCTCATAACAGCTCCATTACTGCCTGTCAATATAATATTAAACAAAAGTTTTTGTCATGAACATCATAATTAGACTAAGTCATGCTTATGTTATATGTTTAGTAGCTGTATATATAGAAAACTGGAGGCAAGGAACTCCCTCTGTTTTTCTGTTTCTCTGTCTCACTCTCGCTTATGTTGACCAAGTGGCCTAAAGAGAGGGGGCGATTAAAAAAAACTAGTTAAAGTTTATTTTTGTTTTAGTATTGGTAATTTTGGTTTAAGTCAAAGGAAAAAGGGGTGTTGGCATTGGGCAATATGCAGGTAAAATGTTTACAGTTAATGTTAATTTAATTATTTCGGGGTCAATTAGTGTCAACCATAGGAACCTATGGAACCCATAGGAACCTATGGTTGACACCAAATGATTATGGCCAAAATTTTATATACGAGGGGAAGAATATGGATTGGTGGAGGATGAGGAACCTATTCACATTGCAAATAATATCTAAAATTGAAAAAGTTAGTCATTTTTATTGGTAACCTAATAACAAAGCAGAGGAATCGTTCATGCATAATTTATTGAGGTCATAAGTAAAGTGGTCCAGCACTGGGCTCAGTGTGAGAGAGATGGCGCTGGACCTCAGATGTAAAGACTGCTTATCCGACGTCTTATACAACAGCCCCTTCCAAAATTTCAGTGACTCCACAATGTGCTGCAACAAAAGATTTTTTTGCAACCCAAGTTCGATATAATTCTTTAATATCAACCCAAATAAAATTCATGCAGAGTGTTCAAGCATGCTATATGTAAGAATGCTATTCTTCTGTGCATAAGCATGTAGAAATAGTAAACAGAGCAATGAAAAATGTTAAAGCCATCATTTGAAAAATGTATATCAGGAGCAGCCATCACAGTACCCATCATGACACTCAATCATGACATAGAGCTAAGTCTCAGGGCTTTAAGAGTGCGTAATGTTCTGAATTAGTATGTAGTAACCTTAGCAAAATATGTATGACTATAGAGGTTCAGGAATAAAAAGAGTGGTCATCATAATTCTTTTAATCTACCAGTGGAACTGGTAGATTTTGGAAAACACTAATACTTGTACGGCACCACTTAAATAGCATTTTAGTTGTCACCACATTTTCAACTACTTTGCCCTGTTAGATGTCCTTTGACATCTAACAGATTGGCCGTGCCTCTCTTGCTGTCATTAGATCGAATGCAACAAACTCAACTAATTTAATCTTTAACTGTATCCTAACTAATCCCAAATTTTAATTAGGGGTACACTGTCTGTGTCTATATCTGTTTTATACATATTGCTGCATCTTCCTTAACATATTACAACATACAGTGGGGGAAAAAAGTATTTGACCCCTTGCTGATTTTGCAGGTTTGCCCACTTACAAAGAATGCAACGATCTATAACTTTAATCATGTGTACATTCTAACAGTGAAAGACAGAATCCCAAAGAAAATTCCAGAAAATCACATCATATGAATCTATAAAAATTGATAACCATTTGATGAGGAAAATTACATTCTTTGTAAGTGGGCAAACCTGCAAAATCAGCAAGGGGTCAAATACGTATTTCCCCCACTGTATTACAAGAAACAAACACGCAAAAAATCTCCCAGTGCTGGGAATACTCCAACACATGTTTTCAGGAATATAAGTTATATTATATATATGTACAGGTTGGGGTATAACTAACCCTATAATTTATGTACATTGATTGTAACTTCATCATTTCAGTGTCCTGTAGTGAAAATCCATTAATAAAAACTGGAGGTACGACCCCCTGCCGTGGTAGCACTTACTCATGTTATTTGGTAAAGTCATTTTTGCATGTTTCTGCATAACTGAAGTTACCCTGATCAAATTGTTAAGTGGTCAGACTACTGTGACTCGGTTTAGATTCATAAATACGTTAAAAAGCAGAAATTCGATGGAGCACTTTTACAGCCTCCATGTTTTTCTTACATTTTCTAGGTGAGTGTCTGGCACAGTTCAGAGACCAGAGAACACATCAGCCACATGATAGCATCACCTCAGTATATGCAGGTGGTCCACCATCCATCGATGATCAACGAATTATATCCCAACCATGTTTCTGGTAAGCAATAAACCTGACATACATGTTTTTGGACGGTGGGAGAAACACATAAACAGGGAGAATATACAAACTCCACACAAGCACCCAGCCGAGGTTTTGGCATTGTGAGAGGATGATGCTAACTACAGCATTGTGCATTTTTCCCCAATTACATTAATTAAAATCCACATACATATAATTGATTAGAATCCACATACATATCATTCCAATTCAATAAATGGTGCCGCTCTAAGGAAAGCAAGAAATGTCTTCTAAGCCTGCATATGGATGGAGATGGTTCCCTTCTTGTGAATTGTAGTCAAGAAGGTTGGCCACCTGCTTCAACCCGCTTCTGGCCAGATCACCTCTGGGCTGGGAACGCCTGGGGATCACCAAGCTGAAGACTGTCACTGGAAAGACGGAATTTCTGGGTTTACCTCTTGTTAACGTGTTACCTCTCTGTCTTTATTTGAGGAAATAAGCACAAGAAAACTGACTCACATTGCTTTTAAAAACTCTAAGAGTCAAACGGATAAAAGGGGATGCTAAGAGATGATTAAAGGTGGAGCTTAGCTATTAAGGGCTTTTCATTTAGGAAAAAAAATTGGTTGTGGATTCAATGGAAATGAAAGGGAGATAAAATTGTAGAAATATGATCTCTTCTGGTAATGATCACTGTTGCATTTATTATAACATTTCAGATCATTTTTAAAACAGTGAAATATTCATGCATTATAATGTTCACATTTCTTAAAGAAAAACATCCATGCTGTGACAGGCTTTATAGTTATAGTTTCAGTTCCTAAAACTATCAAGTTAACGCTATAGCAAGTTATAGTTCGTATAGTATTAGCATTATTGCAAAGGTTGAAAAAAAGCAGTTGTGGAAAAAAACACAATTGTGGCTGAATTTGTCAGACTCACTCATCTAGATAACTGATGGGAAACACTAGACTATTTAGGGAAAAGAAATGTCAATAAAGTGTTAAGTTAGCCTGACAGCACCTTCACAGATCATTCCAAAGTAACCCTGGAGTAATTATTACTATGCATCCTGGCAACAAATGGCAAAACTCAAAGGAATGCCGATTTATGTTTTTTAAGATTATTATAGTTTTTTATGAGTCTCTGTGATCTGAGTTCGAGAAAATGTTTTAGAGAGGAAAAGTCTTGATTTCATGCTACCATGAAAATTATTTTTTAATGAGACTAATGGATTCTACAGAGTCCTAGAGGGTTTAGATACCAATGCTCTAAACAGAGTTTTAGGGAGTGTCTGTGAAAAGGAGGTCAGTAGAGCACAATGGGTTCTGGCTGGTTCGATGTCACAAGGACATCTCAATTTTCAACTATGATATACTGTATGTTACCGCTTTATGTGTGGCATATCAATGAATATAAAAAGAAATGGGTGCATATGCCAAAATCAAATATTTGAGTTGTGCCACATTCCATGTGCTACATTCCATTTAACATCAAATATCATGGATTTAGTGTAAGAACTAAAAAAAAAAGGTATTTTGAATTGTTCCCCAGGAGTGTCACCCTTTTCGTAGATACAGAGACACATCGAGAAGGGCTGGTGGTTGTATGCAGCAAGAATCCATGCTCTTCCAGTTGACTACAGATTAGACCCTACAAAATAAATATTTTAGTTCAAGAGAAATCCCTCAGTGTGTGATGTAATGAAATTATGATTAATTTATAGCCCCAATCAGAGCACAGGCCATACAGGAAAGCTGATGCAGAATTTGCAAAGAGCTATTTGTTTATTTTAAAAAGATGACAGCCAAGGTAAAATCAATTATTCCATCACTGTATTGGCATATAACAGACACATTAAAACTTTTTAGTGTGCCCCATTTACTCATAGTATTGAAAATGACCAAAACATGACAAATGACAGAAAAACAAATAGATTAAATAACTTTAAATGTATGCTGCTTATTCCTATAAGGCTCGCAGGTGGCCTGCAGCTTGTCACACGTGTCATTGGGTGAGAGTTGGGGTACACCCTGGACAGTACATAAAAGCCACACAGAGACAAGACCAATCATTCACACACTAACCTTATTGTGGAACCAAAATACATTTAACTGGAGATCTTCACAGTCTCCATATGCCATGATTGAGATTCTATGAGATTCTAAATAGATATTCTAAAATATCTATAAGTATGTTTGATTGAAATGGTTATATTAAATTTAAATTTCAAATTTTCAACACATGGATGGTGGTTTAGATTATCAGTCATACAGGTCATGGTAATGTTAAGGACTTGATTAAAGGCAACCTGACGTTTATTCTTTGAATTAAAATTGTAAATATAAAATTTCAAAATGTAGTTTTCTTTTTAAAAAATTGTTTACAAGCTTCTGCTTTTTTTAGTACATGCTCATTTTCTGCAAAAAGGGACAAGTGACAAAAGCATATGATTTGCTGACCATAGCTTGCAGGCAATTGTGATGACATAGCCTCACTTCAGAACCTTTTTTTTATTGAAAATTGCCTTTTAACACTTCTGGAACTGAAGTCAATGAGAGAAGTCAGAGTCATGTAGTTTTGTTTCATTCAAACATAATATGGACTAATAGGTTCTAAATGGCAATAAAGAGCAGAGAGTTAGCTGTCAAGTTGATCACCTACAAGTGACCTATTTCCATCCATTTAAGCCATGGTTAAGTCTTCTCAGACTTCTCAAAAGAGCTATGAACGAGTCAACTTACCTTAACAGTATGATTAAAAGCATGAGAGGGAGGGGGGAGTTGGCTGAAAACTGTGACAAAATGTAGCAAATATTTAAAGAAAATTATTTCATAAAAGAAAAGAGAGGAAAATCGGTGACCGTTTAAAAGATCAGACCTTTCTTTTGACAATTTTTAATAAAAGGGACCTTTAATAAAATAAAAAACAGATGCACTGCAACAGTCATCTGACAAAAGACAGACAATTCACAGGGTGAACGATGTCATGAATTTTTTGGTTTGAAGAACGTGGTATTCATTTCATTAGTGTAGCTCAGTGTTGGACCGTTTTACACAATATTCTTGTGTTTTTTAATGTCACTCATAAGTATTAAAACCCTCTCAGAAGTGCAATTGTACTCAGAGAAAATAATCCGTTTCACAATTTTGATCAGTTTTATTGTTGTTAAGTATACAGTCCATCATATTGACCTACCTTTAGTGTTGCTGCCTCATGCTTCTGTGCTCCATTACCATGATCTATTTGTTCTTTTCTCATCTTGTTCCAAGGCGTACCAAGCGCTGCCACCATGGTAATCGTAATATGTATCGCAACCCTTGTGATAGTGGTGGTGCTGGGTGTATATCGCATCCATCTGATGCACCAACAGGAGGTGAAATTGCCAGAGACAGCAAGAGAGGCAGACGTGACTTGGGATGACTCAGCTCTGACAATCACCGTGAACCCGATGGAGGTAGGAGGATTAAAACGATACTGCCAGGGGTGGATGTGAACAGGCAGTTAGCATTATTTGCAACACTCTGTGAAAATAGAAGGTACAGCAGTAGAGTAGGCTTTTTGAGGAGATAGTGTTTGCTTAATATACATTTGGAAACACCAGGTTCGAACAGCTTAGTATCGCTCAAGATCATTCTCTGTCCACAACTGAATAGTGGAAAAAAAGTAAGGAGATTTGGATATAATGAGGCAGAAAATAATCCTGAGAGCATTGGATCATTAAATTAAGTCAACTGGAGAAACAAGAAGAGACGTAAATTAGTAAATGAGCTCTTAGAACTAGCAAATCATAGTTTGTATGCAGACATGTCAGTCATCTGTCAGTTATCTGCATGTGTTGTTTGTGTGTTATGGTGAAGAGGCAGATGCAGCAACAAAATGGCAGAGAGGTTCAATCTCTTTTCAGAGAGTTGATTGCAGGGAACTGTTTTCATTCTGTTGTAAGGATGGAATGAGTTTATTTTGGATCGCTGTTTTTATTACGTGCTTTGGTTAGAAAATCTGCACCAAAGTATCTGACCCCTGCAAATCTCTTTCACCACTAGAATTTTGTGGAACCCCAGACTGCAGAGGAGGAGGCTAGTGAAGCAGAGGAGGATGAAGAAGAGGATGAGGAAGATGAAGCAGATGGAGACGACATCACCAGCGCTGAGTCAGATGACAGTGAGGAGGAAGAAGATGTGGAGCTACCCATGGTGCAACAGTCAAAAAAGAAGGCTCAAAGCTGGAAGAAAACAATATCTTATTAAAACGTGCAGACTCACTCTCTCTCTTTAACACACACACGCTAACGCAGATATGCATTCTTAAATGGATGCATCCTGAAACCTCAAACTCGATGAAAAATATTTTGTAATGTTAAAGCCCTAAAAATGATCACTACAAGGTCATGGCAAAAACCCAAGCGCACACAAAAAAACACACTCACTCACTCAGTCACACACGCAATGCAAATGTTTATTTTTAGATTTGTCAGAAACCTAATTTTTTTATACAGCTGATAGGAAATAATGCCACACTAAAACTGCTCATTAAACATTTCTCCTAAAGGAATAGCTCATCAAAATTGAGCTCCTCTTTTCAGAAAAGTAGTATGTAGTATTACCGTTCAAAATGCAGATACAGTCTGTCGGGAAAAAAATCAAGCTTCAACTTTGCGCTATACATTCTCTTTGGTGGGTCCAGTTTCAGAATTGGATTACTAGTGTTCCATATTTTAAAAAAAGAAATGCAAAGCAGCCATTAATTACATAAAGTTGAGTTGCAAAAGTGAAGAAAATTGGACTTTTTTTGTATACTTTCATTTAGCAGTTTTCATTCTTGCCAATATGGCAGAGCAAAGTGACTTTACAGAAAAAATCATATTTTCAGTGGAACGCATAAACAAAACAAAAAAAGGAGGGGAAAAAAAGATGATCAATGTGCTGATTCAGATGTCACAAGAAACCTAGCAGTAAGGTCTGAGTTTTTGGTGTTTGGAAAACAGAGATGTCTCCTTGTACATTTTTATACATTCATTTGTTTTTGTAATATTCAGTAGTTGGTGACCCCCTACCCTGCATCCCTTCCCCACACATCTCAGCTCTTCATATGTACGTACGCAGCCTGAACCAAGTCCCCTATGTCTGTTTTTTGTTCCACCTGATGTTGTTCAGGGTTTGTTTGGGTGGATGTGGTACAACCTTCATGGTCAATACCCAGTACTAATTAAGTAAATCTAATTTAAGAAAAGCTGAGCCTGCCCTCATTAGTTATACATCAGTTGTGGTAACAGAAGTAAAAAAAAAAAACGGACAGCAGAACTCCTCAATCAAGAAAAGGCACATTTTCAGCTCTGCTCTTGCTGACACCTGCTAGTTATCATTGCTGCGTGATCACAAAGTTCCAAACTTCAAGTAAGGAAAAAGAGAGCAATCAGACGGTTTAACAGAATGTAAAATATAGTAAATATTTAACCATGGAAAAGCGGCTGAGATTTCTTCGTTATGTGAAGGCCTCACTGTGGAGAGGCATTCTTGACAAAGAGGGAAGTCACTCCTCTGTGTGTATTGTAATCACAACTGCTCTACTCTGTCTGTAGCACCCAGTCCAACCACATGTGCACAGTAATGCACGAGTTTCAGAACTACTTTCAAATTTCCAAGGTAGATTTCCCTTTTCTTTCAGTTTCTTTGGGTAGGGATACTGAAGCTCAAGTGTGACACCTAATGAGTCTTTAAAGCAATACATTTCCTCCTTTAGAAATCTCCAAATGCCTACCAAAATCTATTTCAGTCGAATTCACCACTTATAGTGTATACTTACTTTTGTTTTGACATGCCACTCAGTGGGCACATCCTACTGAGCAAACACTAGTATATACTACTAAATATATATTTTAGCACTGAGATGCTGCTGACAATTTTTTTGTAATGCTCTTTTAGAACGTTTATGAAAAGCTTTTTATCTATCTAGTGGCACTCATATCACCTAAGGAATTACTTGAGACACTTCAAACTTTGGTGGACCATTGATGGAGGAAATTAAGTTTTAAGAAATGATGTCCCATACAATAAAACCCAATTAGCTAAAAGCTTCTGGCCACTAGGTTACGAAGTTTCCTGGTGTAAGAAATGTAAGACTAAAGAGGGATTGTATTTAGTGGTGTTACAGAAATCTCAACATCATCTCAAATTTGTATCATTTTGAAGTGAGAGGGCATTAGTTTATGTTTTTAGCCATCATGAATAAGTCTGTAATATTGAATAGCTGAGGATCCACAACTGATGTTGCAGGCATGTTTATGTACTGTCAAACACATCAAAGGGTTTAATTAAAGGTACAATACTGAAAAATTACCTCTCTAATTTTGGGTCTTTGCCAGCTGTTTTTGGGGTATAATTGGGAGAATCTACTGTATGTGTATACTGTAGCTCTGTTGTATGGTCATGTAACGATCCCATTTGTTGTTTAAGAGTTTTTATCATCTGCTATAACACCTGGTCTTGTGATGTCATATGCCTTTTGGGTATCCCCACTAGACATTTTTTGTAGATTTTTACATCAGCCTGACACCTAATGTTGTCCTGACATTTGTTTTACAACAGGGTGGATGAATTAACATAAAAAACCTGGAAAAACATGTAAAAGATTTTTTCTTTTTCTTCTGGACTTTTTGGTCCGTTTTTCTTTGGAAAGGTCACTACAGCACTTTCTGTAAATTGGCCAGTAAAAACTTGTTTTGGAAACAAAGCGCTGGTTCTTTTTTGTGTGTGTGCCAAGTAAGGTGACTGCTTGTGTTAGTGTGTAAGCAAATGTGTCTTCGTTTTTTCGTAACAAGGCTTCCAACAAAGAGTCAGGCTGACACCAACTAGAAATATGACACTAAAAATCCAAGAACACTAAAATATCAACCTGAAGAGACAAGACCACAACCCAAATCACATAACCAAATTCCACAGAAATGTATAAATTAGGCTTTGTTTGTTGTTTTTTTATTTTACATAAGGGAAAGATATATTGGAGTTTGATGTGGGGGCTACCCAACTGTGTCTTCTACTGCTCTCCATCTTTAATCTTCGCTGAATGACCTAGCAAGCACAGCTGTTGATGTAATACCTTTACAATGAGAAAATACCTTTTCAGTGGAGTGGGTCCTCTCCATGGTGGTGTTGAGCAGAACAGAGATTTGAGAGATTAGAGATTTGTTTTGTATTTATTGTTTCATACTGGTTTTAAATAAAAGAGTATTCATTACACTGATCCAAGATTGCTCTTGCAAGAGGAACAGCAATGTGACTCATCTTTAAGTAAGTACCAGCAAAAAATGTCAACAGCAAGATAAGAGAACACTGTTTTTTTATGTTGTTCGGAGGCCATCGAGACTATGTGGACACAATTTCCAAGTCATGTCCCTTTACCTGCAATTACAGCTGGATCATTTGAGCAAAAATATCTAGTGCTGTCAATGTAATATTGTCTTGTTGATGATGGTGATAGTAATTGGTATTTTCTTGTCCAGCCTGGAAATATATTATGGGAATTAAACCTCACCCTCACAATCAATCCAACACAGCTATTTTGTGCATGTGCAAGAGTAAAAAGGAAATTACACCATCGGGGCTCGATATTCACGTTTTTTTTTTGTATATTTTTTGAAGAAATGAAAACAGTCACTTATACTGCTTGAACTCATTCTGTATTGTGGTTTCCATTTTATTCTAAACAATATAGAACCTTAATCAACATACGAAAGGATATGATATAAACGTGAATGTAAAACCCTTACATTCACGTTTATGTCATATCCTTTCGGATAGACTGTATAGACTTACTATAGAATGTAACCTGGCATTATCTTTATCTTTGTCTGTCTCTACAGACACACTGTATAATGACATCATGTAAAGAGCGGACTTGCACAATTGATCATACTCGAATCTTTAGTGAAAATAATAAAGGCTCCCAACACTGTACCGCAGAACTTAAGTTAAACAGTAAAAAAAAAAAAAAAAAGCTGGATTGTAGTTGAAGACAGGATAAGGTTATGTTTTGGGATGGGGTTACAAGAGTTCGAGGAATGAGCCAAAGACATTTAAAGTTGTCAAAAGAGAACAAGCATTTGTACGGTATGTGATGATGACTGGGTAAAAAACTATGGATATTTTAACATGCTTTTACACATTGAACCCATTATAAAATCATCTCAGTTTGCTTTCAAAATTGAATTTTTACTTAAGGAAAGTAAGATGGCACCTATTAAATGTACAAGGACAAGTGTTTTTATCTTTTTAAAAAAGACTTTATAATAACAAAGTCAATTTGGTCAATTTAGATGTGGTTCTTTATTTCTTCTATTTCAATCTTTAATAGCAACAAAAGCAAGTAAAAATCGTTGTAACTGTTTCTGCAGTTTGACATTGCAGCTCAGTAAGTAGATTCCTTTTATATGTTCCGTAAAATTAAAGGCTTTATCTATAACTTACAAATATTGTTGGTTATTTGTGTAAAGGAAAAGAGATAGCTGACTGTCTAAATTAAATAATTTTCTGCAGCCATTTTAACCTTTTGACAATGTCATGTCTCCATCTACAGGATACAATTATTCCACAAAATCACAAACTGTTTTTAAATTCATTATAATCATCCATTTCTGGAATCCTGTCCAATGCCTTTACCACTTTCATTAAATATGAAATCTTAATGATTAGAATTATTAATTCAATGCAATCAGGGAACTGTGATGAAGAACTTTGTGTCAGTAAAATGTTCCTCCAAAATCAATCATGAGAAAAACTAGGCCCACATCTTGCTTAAATCTGATAAATCAGGGTTAAAATACAGAGTGTAATTTTCTAAAACCTGGCATATTTTGATAGCAGAGAGCTCATCAGGTTTCAAACCGAAAGACTTCAACTTGACTTGAAAACAAATTTTACAAAAGTAAAAGTATGTTGATGTTTTATTGTAATTGCTGTTATTCCTTCCTTTCCATCACAGAGGCCTCCTGCTCATGGAGGTTGAGGCAGCAATATGAATTATGAAGCCTCAAACAAAAAATAGATTTCCTCCATGTCTACATAATTCATCATGTTTTGTTTTCTTTTGCAGTCCAACACAGTGAGAGCTCATGTTAAAAGTTAAAGCTTAATTTGAAGAACTTGAAAATCTGAAAAGAAACAGGGATGTCACAATTAAAGTATATGGTTTTGTACAGACAGAGGTGGACATTGCCATTATTCATGGACAAAAAGTGAGTGACCAATTTGAG